CAGTCTCCTCGAGCCTGGTTTGGTAAGTTCAGCACAGTTATTCGAGAATTTGGCATGATTCAGAGTGAAGCTGATCACTCTGTATTCTATCGGCATTCTGCCTCGAGTCTCTGTATTTATCTGGTGGTCTATGTTGACGACATTGTTATTACCGGCAATGACCAGGATGGTATTACTAAATTGAAGCAACATCTCTTGCAACACTTTCAGACTAAGGATCTGGGCAAACTAAAGTATTTTCTGGGTATTGAGGTCGCTCAGTCTAGCTCAGGTGTTGTGATCTCACAACGAAAGTATGCCTTAGATATTCTTGAAGAGACAGGAATGACAGGTTGTAGACTGGTTGACACTCCGATGGATCCGAATTCTAAACTTATGCCAGGACAGGGGGAACCTCTTAGCGATCCTGCAAGATATAGACGGTTGGTTGGTAAATTAAATTACCTTACAGTGACAAGACCTGACATTTCCTTTTCTGTGAGTGTTGTGAGTCAGTTTATGGATTCTCCGTGTGATAGTCATTGGGATGCAGTTGTTCGCATTCTTCGGTATATAAAATCAGCTCCAGGCAAAGGTTTATTGTTTGAGGGTCGAGGCCATGAGCAGATCGTTGGATACTCAGATGCTGATTGGGCAGGATCACCTTCTGATAGACGTTCTACGTCTGGATATTGTGTCTTGGTAGGAGGAAATTTGGTGTCCTGGAAGAGCAAGAAACAGAATGTGGTTGCTCGGTCTAGTGCAGAAGCAGAATATCGAGCAATGGCTATGGCGACATGTGAGCTAATTTGGATCAAACAGTTGCTCAAGGAGTTGAAATTTGGTGAGATTAGTCAGATGGGACTTGTGTGTGATAATCAAGCTGCTCTTCATATTGCGTCAAATCCAGTGTTCCATGAGAGAACTAAACACATTGAGATTGACTGTCACTTTGTTAGAGAAAAGATACTCTCGGGAGATATTGCTACAAAGTTTGTGAAGTCGAATGATCAGCTTGCAGATATTTTCACCAAGTCCCTCACTGGTCCTCGTATTAACTACATATGTAACAAGCTTGGTACATATGATTTATATGCACCAGCTTGAGGGGGAGTGTTAGAATAGTCATGTAAATAGGAGTAAATAAATAACCCTAATCCAATATATGTTAGGAGTAGGACATGTTATGTGTGTATATATATAGGGCTCATTGTAACATATGTATATACATCAATAATATATTTTCTCCCGTGCTTTCTCACAGTTTCTTTCCTAAAATCCGGGATCTAACCTCATCATACTCCTTATTTAACCTAGCCAAAAATAAATACACACGATCATTTTCTTCTTTTTTCATAAACCTAACACTATCAGTTGGACAGTCCCACTCATCATTATAGCATTGATCTAACTCTTGCCAAAGAGACATCATCTCATTATAAAAATCAGTAACTTCACGCTCCCCTTGTCTAGACTTCCACAGTTTTGTTTTTACCTCAAAGATTTGTGAGAAATTTTCTAAATCTGAGTAAGTTTCTCTCACAGCCTCCCAAATATCTTTTGCTGTGGGAAGGAAAAGGTAAGGTTTACCTACAGATGGCTCCATGGAATTAATCAGCCATACGCTGATGAGTGAAGTTTTCAGACTTCCATGTCGCTAGGCTTTTGAATCTTTCGGCTTTTGGCCTTTGAGTTCTACCGTATCTAAATCCCCCAAATTTTCCNCTTTCCATCTATGGCCAGTTTAAACGGCTTGAGCCCATTCCAGATAATTCCGTCCATTCTAGCTAGTTGGACAATTAACTGGAATGAGTAATTTGATGTATCTACCGCTTAGGCTTCATGATGGCACGAGGTTGAATCTAGCAGCAGTCAGTACTCTTTCACTGGTGGCTCTGATACCATGAAAGTTTGAGTAGTAAAAATAATTCTTCTTATTCAAATAATCAAATCTGTACAAGAGTCATGAATTTATACAAAGAAGAGTTCTACAAAAGATGGTAACAATCCCTTGACTCAAGGAGATTCCTGATTTCAAGGGATTTTCTGTTTAAACATTTTCCTAAAATATCTACATCTATATCTCCTAAAGATCATACAAATCTGATAAAATCAGAATCTTTTATCTTTTTCCTTTAATCTCTACATGGTACATTGTCTTTCATAAAAAAGGTATGATGTTAGATGGTTGTGTTGTTCAAGGAACTCACTATGCCTCTACCAGGGGCCGCTGATGAACAATATCTCTATTATGGATAGGCATGGCTCGTTTATTAGAAATTTTTTGATCAGCTTTAGAGAATACATTTCAAATGTGGTTAATAGCAAGCTCTTTGGCCTTTTGCATTGAAGTAAACAGCCTTGTGCCCTGCAGATCATGATTTATTTCTGACTCTAACCTCTAGAATTTTTGACTTTTTAGGAGTTCTTATGTTGGCAATATATCAGTTTTTGGTGAAATAGAAGAGAAGCTCAAGCAGGTTCATTATTTGAGACTTTCAGTGTGTCACTGTTTATTATGTTCTTCTGTGCATGTGATAGTATGAATAAGGGGATAGCTATATTGCATGGACTATGGTTAAAGTGAAACAGTCGAATTCAAACTTTATACTTTCCATGAGATCTCTGTTGAGACCTGTCATGAAATAATCAGTCCAAGCATAAAACACTCTTGTTGTTCTTGTACTGGTTGGGCTCTGCTTCCGTGTGGCTCTTTAAGTGGTGTTGGTAAATCAGATGAAAGGTTTTGCTAACTGAAGTTGGCATACTATCTGCTAAACCATTATAGCTCCTTCATGTAAATTTCCTTGAATAATTAAGTAATGCTGGAAAAAATTTCTAGAGCACATTCTCAACACATAAGCTTAACATGACTTTGCTTTTTACCTCCTTACAGGATTTTCCTAACTGTAAGTACTAGATAATGTTTCCTAATTTCCTCTCTATTCAGCAGCTTCCTTGGCGGGATGAATGTCCATAAGACTTTGTAACTAAGCTTTAATACGTTATGTATTTGGTTGAATTATATTAATTTTCCTACTTCAGAGCTTCTATTATCTTATGCCGGCTTGTCCGTCTTCTTAAAAAAATTTAGACGTCTTTCTCATTTTATGCATTTCGTCTTTCAAAAGAAGTTACTTGCTAGTTATAACTATGTGCTCTCCTTATCCATCAAAATTATTATATGCTCATTATTAAAAAGAGACACAAATAAATAATCTTGGCTCAAGATGTTGTGGGTGGACCAGCTATTTATTTATCACCTGGATATTCGCTGGTTTACGCCTAAAAGGATCTTCTTATAAAGTGGAATATTCTTCATTGATGCTGTATAGCACTAACTATATATGGAGAGCTCTTGAGTGCTTGCGGTACAATTTGTCCAGAAGAAAGATAAAAAATTTATAAAAAAAGAAAGAAAAAAAAACCTTACTGTGAAGTCTTGGCTCTTTTCTTGATATTTCCTTTTCGTACTTTGTTACTGTTAAAAAAGCTCAAACTTGTTAGTTGATATGTTTGCCCAGTTCTTCTGTTTGTTTCTTTTATTTTCGGATAAGGGGACAGTTCTTCTGTTGCATGGCTTTTTATATTTTATCTTGATCCTTCTGCTGTTGTCCTAACTGAATCAGTATCTCTTTATACTAACTAATTTCAGGGCGATAATGTTGTTTTGATGTCAAACCACCAAAGTGAAGCAGATCCAGCGGTTATTGCTCTGTTGCTTGAATTGAAGCACCCATACATTGCTGAGAACATAGTTAAAATCATTTTCACCCAATTGCATTTTATAAGATAGTTATACCTCAAGCAGCTTAATTAACTAATCTATGCTTACTGGTAAACAGATCTATGTTGCAGGAGATAGAGTTATTACTGATCCTCTTTGCAAGCCATTCAGCATGGGAAGGTGCTTAATTAGATAAGTAGCATTGTCAAAGTATGTTCAGAAATCACATTTACTTTAGACATCTGACAAGCTTTTATGTCTAGGAATCTCCTCTGTGTTTATTCAAAAAAACATATGGGTGATGACCCCAAACTCGTCGAGAAGAAAAAGAGAGCAAACACAAGAAGCTTGAAGGAGATGGCTGTGCTATTGAGGTACTTATGCTGCTAGTGCTTTGTCCTTTTTGGAGTATTTTGATGAAGCTTTTACTTTGCAAGTTGTGGTGCCAGGTAGTCTCGGGGTTCTATTCTGGAGACACTATTACCAATATTATCTGTGACAATCTCTAATCAAGATTGTCTCTGCTAAGTTTTATAAATGAAACGGAAGATTCTCTCTTTAAAGTCTATGTGTAGTGGACATGATTAAAAATGGCAAGCTAAACCTAATATTGCATATGTGGTCCTATATTTTCAATCTCGTCTCATCTTCTCTAGCTATCGAAAAAGCTTGTTTTATTAGATGTTTGATAGTTCATTTTCATGAGGGAGTTCAACCCCACTTCATTAATCTGCCTGGAAGAAAACCAAAGAGCAAGTTGTGGTAAAAATGATGTCTAATGTGGAATGTGTAGTAGATACTACAAATATGATAGACGGAGGTTTCCTCATGAATATGGATATGCGAAATCAATTATCGTCCACCATATGACTACTTTATCGGGTTCATACTTAAGTCCTAAAGTGTTGGGTGAGTAACTGAATGCCATTGTTCACATAATAATACAAGAGAACATCTTAGGATATATATACTTTTGGCAATTCGAGATAGCCCATTATTGCCCCATTGATGGAAGCATACATCTGAGGATACATGTACTTGTGGTCCAGGGGTGGATCAAAACTAATATGGATTGCTCCTAGTGGTGGAAGAGATAGGCCAAACCCTGTTACAAAAGAATGGTATCCAGTAAGATTTCTTTTTTGATTTTGATTATTGTTCTGTTTCCCTATATTTTAGTTTTTATATTCTACATTTTATAAGCGTGGCCAACATTCTTTCATGATAATGTATTTTCTCAGTTTCATTCTATATGACTCTGTTTGAACGAAGGAAGAGTTTCAGATGTTAGTTTGACTCTGTATTTTATTAGTGGTAGTAGAGGAAAAAAATATAATGGTTTAACAGTTAGTTTGATAAAGAAAAAATCGCTGAAAATTTGAAATTGGAATAGTAAAATGAATTTGAATTGTTGTATGTTGTACAAAGTAACAATACCAGTGGAGTGGTGAAAACACTTTGGGAAGCCCCAAAGTAGAAAAACTGTTATAAATTGAAATGGAGGAAGTATGTGTTATTGCCGTATTCATTCTGTTAATTGATTCTTAATACCTTTGGGGGAAATATGCTTTCCCTGCCTAGGCAACAGCGGAAGGCTCCCACATATTCTGGATTACATCTCATGCCAATTTGCATAGGTAACCGACTGTATGAAAACTAAAAAAATAAGCAACTAAAAATGTTAGTGGGTTGACGAATTGTTGCTTTACACAAATAACTAATATTACTTGAATTGTAAGTAAAAACGAAAACGCTAACTAGCTTTTGTCCAGGAAGCACAACAAAAGAATAGTAGTAGGCAGAAGCAGCGCTAAGAAGGCCGATATCAAGTGAAATAAGTAACAATAGCATTTAGTTGTCTTCACAACAGGGCAACCACCCTGATTTCGCTAACTGATGCCGTGAGCTGTAATGTTTTTTCCTTGGTTGAGACCACCAGATTGAAGGAAACCTCTGTACTCTCTGCATTAATCGCCTTTTGCACATAAGATATCACTTTGTTTTATATGTAACTTGATGGCTTCAGTAGGAGCTTTCCCTCTCTTTCCCGTGTGTGCTTTCTTCTCCGTCTTTCCCTTCTTTGAATAAGAAAACCAGGAAGTCAGCCAGTCTTTTCTAAATAAGGGTAAGTGCCATCTAAAGAAAATCATCCGCTGATTAAATAATCTGCTGCTCTTGATTGGTTCTCGCTAGATGAACTTCTTTAGAGGGTAAATTAGATTTGTCCGACGTATTGTGTCAACAATTTTTGTTTCTGACGGTAGCCGCTTCCTAAGTGAGGTTGTTCATACGGTAGTAACTTTTAAGGCAGAGTTAACTGTTTTTATCCTCTTGATATAGCAAAGGTACATACTATGGTTTACTGCTTCTATTCTGTATGTTCAGCAATAAACTTCTCATTTGCCTTGTGACAGTTCTAGGATAATGTTTAGCTCTGACAATTTCTCTTTTTTCTCGTGGCATATAATATATCTATATATAGTGTGTACCTATGTATGATGAACAATTGGTTTCAAATGTTTTGGTATTTATGAACCTTGCCATGATGCTTTAGTTAAGAGATGCTTTTGTTATTGTATCCAAATTAGCCAAGGATCCATATAGGTAATACCAGTTGGGCCTAAGCTAATTATTTGTGAAGGGATAAGTGGTAGGTTAGAGAACCCATAATGATATTAACAGGTTCCAACTGATCTGAGACTGTTGCATAGTTGATTGATTGATTCTGTCCAACGCGCGGTTGACTCTTTTTGCTTGTCTTTCTTCAGGCGCCATTTGATGCTTCCTCAACAGACAACATGAGAAGGCTTGTAGAACATGCTGGTGTCCCTGGTCACATTTATCCTCTAGCAATATTATGCTATGATATTATGCCCCCTCCGCCCCAGGTTGGTTTATGTGACAACTATGTTTGTTTCTGTAATGACTTGTACATTTTTATATACCCCTGCTTGCTTACGTACAGGTTGAGAAAAATATTGGAGAGAAAAGAATAATATCTTTTCATGGAACTGGCATATCCGTGGGGCCCAAAATTGATTTTCATCAGGTTGCTGGTGCTTTGGAAGACCCTGAAGAGGTTAGTTGTTAGAGGTTCATTTCGTTTAATTATTGGAAGCTCTTTTTGGACTAAATTCTGCAGCCTAATGAGAGGTTTAGTGAATATTTGTTGGGATACTTGAGGGAACTTATTGTATTTAATACTCAAGCTGGCGTGGACACCACCATCATTTAAAGAGAAAGTAAAAAAAAAAAAAAACTATTTTGATTTAACAGAGAATGAAAGGAGAAGGAAAGTTGGACAAAAATCCACTTTTCATACGCATTTTCTTTTTCCTATTTGAGACCAAATTAACAGGTGATCAAAATGAACGTTATTGATCTTTGCTAAGACCCGTGTTCCTAGAAGTTTTGATTCCTTCAGTTGAGCTATTCTCTTGACAGTGGAAAGTTAAGAAGAAAAGCTCCACAGCAACTATCAGTGTGCAAGTAAAACATTTATTGGACACTGTTTTTATTTAATTCATTTCTTGTTAAGTTATTTCTGTAAATTGAAGCTAAATATGCATTTGTAGCTTGCTGAGGACTGTGAAATCTGTTTCCATATCAAAAGAAGCAAAGATGGAAATTTATGATCTTTTTTATTCTTTAACAAACAAGACTGAAATGTACCTTCTAATGTGCTAATAAGAAATTATAGTATTCCATGGAATTCAAATGAATGATGAATTTTCCTGGAGTGTTAAATAATGTAGGCAGTTGGTGAGACTTCAGTTCAACTAATTTCCAATATAAAGCCACCTCCATTAGGTGTTAACTGATTTGTTTGTCTGTCAACCTTCATTCCTGTATTTTCTCTTTTATTTTTAAGCTTACCAAAGCTGTTCGGCTGCTGTACTTGGCAGTTGTACAATTTGTTTTTCTACCTCTTTCTATAGTTTCAGTTTTCTGTTTCAAAATTCTTCTCCTCGTCCCACAATCTCTCAGCCCTATAGCTCAAACATTCTTCTTTTGTCTCTCTTTTCTGTCATTCAGTAAAGAAGATGGTTAAACTAATTTCACTGCTTTCCGACCTGAAGCTCAAACATTTCCCACTTGCCTCTGCTTCCTATCGATCACTAAAGGAAATGATTTCACCAATTCAGTGTATTCTTTCTTTCACAGTAAGAATTCTCTGTAATATTCTAGTTCCATGGGTCTTTCTATCTCAGATTGATGTCCCATTTTACAGCCCAAGATATGCATCTTATTTTTATGAGATGCCGCTGGCACTTTTGTTTTCTTTCAATCAACTGTCATCATTCAAAGCTGCTATTTCCTCCCCCCTCCTTCCAAATAGTGGGGTAATGTGTTGTGGTTGGTCTTTTGGATCAAGGAAATTGGAGATGAATCCATGAAAGCTTTAGAAAACTGCACCTAATGTGAAGGGCTTAAGAGTGGATACTGTTCTTAATGCAGGCTAAGATGGTCTACACAAAGGCACTTTATGACTCTGTAAACCAGCAGTACAACGTGCTAAATTCTGCTATACATGGCAAACAAGGACAGGAGGCATCAACTCCCAGCGTTTCGTTATCACAACCATGGCAGTAGCTTCTGTTCCGACTTTATTTTCCATACCTTGTTGCTTCAGTCAGGTATGTACGTCACCCACTAAAAATCTGTTGAATAAATTCAGAACTGGAACATTTGGCTTATATCGTCGTGTCTCTGTATGTCTCTGAATTACACTAGTTTGCAGATGTTTGTTTGGAAGTTATAATCAAATCACAAGGATAACACTCACAAACTATGCCACACTTTGCGCTTGCATGTGGTTGGTCTATGCGGAGAGTTGTCCAATTGATACGAACAAGTAATTCTCGAAGATACAGCCTACATAACCCGAAGGAAATTTTTTGGCAGGGCTTAGATAATTCTTTTGACACGAATGTATAGTTACTTTTACCTTGTATCTACCAGATGTTGGATCTGAATCTGTTAGCAATTATAGCTTTCAAGCACTGTCAATTCTGACCTTTTAAGTGAGTGTACGTAGGTATCCTAGATACTCATCTTACCTTAGAAGCGGTAATCCAATTTGTTCGGAAATATAATAAATGCTCTGCAACAGTTCTGCTTGTTTATAGTTTCTATAACTGTGAGATGCTGTTTGAACTACATTTGATGCAGCGCTAAATTTAGTCAGATTTAGTTTCAACGGCAGTGGCTATTAACCTATTTTCCTTCGATTGGTAATCGAGGATGCAGAAAGCATCTGGTCCACCCCTTTTATCAATTAAGTCGAAGAGGAATGGTAGCTAGTAGCTACAATGAGCCTCTTGAACCCCTAATGAAAGCAGAACTTGAAAGGCCCTTTAGCATGATACGTGTTACGCGGCGCCTTCCTGAGATTCCTTGGAAGGGCGACGTAAGGCTAGGCAACTGATGTCAGTGCAGTTGCTGTCCGCCAACTGAGGTCCCCTCCGTACGCTAGACGAGATTGTCAGTGCTGTACGGGAAAACCAATGTCAAGAGCAATTGAGAGAACAGAAATGAGAATTCAGAATGAAAGAAAGCTTGATTGCATTAATGAAAGCTATTACAGAAAAGCAACGCGGTGTCGAGGGGGAGAGACACTAGTACAGAGAATTGCTTGCTTGCTAGAAAGTTTTGATTGCTTGATCCCTCCTAATAGTACTTAAAAAAAATAATCCAAAGTTACAAGACTAGACTTGACTAAGCTAGAGAAACATAATGGAAGTACATGAAATAAAACTACTCTATATTTACAATGAAAATGACTTAGTTTTCTATAAGGCAGCAACAGGTCCGTTGTCAGCAGCAGTGTCTTTGGCATCACGGTCTGCGCGCGCGGCGCTGTTGGCTTCTGCCTGCGGCTTGGCGCTCGCGAGGGATATCGGTGGGGCGACAGAGGCACCTGCGCGCTTGTCACTTGGCGCGGCCAAGACCACGGGGCCGTCCGTGGCGCTAGGCATTGGGAGGTTCGCTAGGACGCCACGGGGCGCGCCCAAGGGGTCATGGGGCATGGCTGGAAAGCCGCCCATGACATTCTCCCCCACCTGAGTTGGCGACGTCCTCGGCGCCTTACTTGCAAAATAATCTTCAATGAGGCTCTTGTAGGCTTTGAGGTTTGTTCCCCTCTCCCAAGTATTCTCTTCTGCATCACAACCCTGCCATTTCACCAAAAACTCTTGGTGATCTTTCCTTGAGGCATGAATCACTCTGTCATCAAGGATAGCTTCAACACGCCTTTTCCCGGTTGAATTGGGACCTCGAATACTGGGTATTGTGAGCTGGCTCCTTGAAGGATCCTCCGTGTCTTCCCGAAAAGGTTTCAGGAGACTGACATGGAAGACAGGATGAATTTTCCACCAAGCTGGGGTATCCACCCGGTATGCAACCTTCCCAATACGCTTTTCAATGGACAAGGGTCCAATGTATTTTTGCAATAGGCGAGGGTCATGGACCCCTGCAAATAAGTACCGCTTTGGAATTTTGACCATCACTTTGTCTCCTACTTGATATTCAACAAAGCGACGATTCTGATCAGCATGCCTCTTCATCCGCTTTTGGGCTTTGACAAGATAGCTCCGCACTATCTCCAAATTCCGCCTCCACTCTTTTGAGAAGCTGGCAGCTCGAGGAGATTTAGCCATGTTTGGTGCATTCACAGTGTGTGGGAGTAGCGGTTGCTGTCCGGTAACAATTTCAAAAGCGCTTTTGTTGGTACTAGAGCTCTTTTGTGAATTGAAACACAGTTGAGCAGCATCCAGAAGCTTCACCCAATTCTTCTGCGATCCGGTTACAAAGTGGCGGAGGTATTCCTCCAACATACCATTGAACCGCTCCGTCTGGCCATCAGATTGCGGATGAAAACTTGAGCTGTGACTCAATTTTGACCCAAGGCACTTGAAGAGTTGGGTCCAAAAGTTGCTAGTGAAGCGTGAGTCGCGGTCACTAACGATGTCTTTGGGCAGGCNGGGACATGAGTCCTTCTTCTTACGAATACCAGCACTGGTCTCCGCTAGTGCCTCAGAAATGGAACCCACAATTGCATTGAAGGCACCTACTGGTTCAGTATGGTCCGCATCGTCTGAGTCGTCATCAGTCCCATCATCAATAGCCTGATGGGCATTCATCTGTGCATGTGGGCACTCATTGTTCCAATGTGGACCGCCGCAATGACGGCATCCTGAAGGAGGCTTTCTCGCCCGATCATTGTTGTTTGACGCAGCACTGTTGCTGCCGGAGGAAGGAGCTCTAGATTTGTTTGAGTTCCGATCTCCCCTATTTTTGCTAGGACCACCACTGCTAGGCTGGCCCCCTTTGAACCCTGCTCGGGCAGGCGGCTGAGGCCTGTCCCTTCGAGCTTCCATTTGATAGTCCCCAAGGCATTCAGCTGCTTGGATTGCCTTGGGAAGGGAATCTATCCTTTGTCTCTGTAGCTCCACGCGGGCATAAGGTTTCAACCCTTCCATGAAGGTGAAGAGTTTGTCCTTATCCCCCATGTCGCGTATGCTGAGCATGAGTGCGGAGAATTCTCGCACGTAGTCCCGCACTGATTTTGTCTGGCGGAGCTCCCGTAGTTTTCTCCTTGCATTATATTCAACATTCTCGGGGAAGAACTGCAGGCGTATGGCTGCCTTCAGTTCGGCCCATGTCTCGAGAGCATCTTCACCGGCCTTGATGGCTTCGTACTTCACACGCCACCAGAGTTTAGCATCACCCTGAAGATACATGGCAGCAGTTGCTACCTTCTTAGCTTCCTCCAGATCCCCAACAGCATCGAAATACTGTTCGACGTCAAAGATGAAGTTTTCCACTTCCTTGGCATTCCTAGCTCCACTGTATGGCTTTGGCTCAGGAATTTTCAGCTTCTTTGTCGCGGAAGCGGAGTTCACAGCACCTCCGATTTGGTTTCCACCTCCTCGGAGTAGGCCCTGTAAAGCAGCGTTGACAACATTGAGTTGGTCTGTCAATTTGTCAATGGTTTGTTGCATGGCAGTCACCTTTTCTGCCTCTTGTGCCCTGTGGGCTAAATCCTCGGTGCGCTCCTGTTGGAGCCCCTCGAATTTCTCAAAGATTTCGGCTGCCTCTGTGGCTGCCGTCTGCCGGTCTCCCTCGGAGTCGCGACTGATGTTTTCAACGTCAACTTCGACCTGAAGCACCCTGCGGTCCAGGTCGTCCAACCTTTGCAGTAGGCTGGTTCTTAGTTCAGGCACCGTATCCATAATAGGCCGCAATACCTCAACCGTCCCTTCGAGGGCCGCAATGCGGTCCCCATGATTCACCATGGTCAGAAATGGTGGTATGTCAATACGTTCCCTCGTCCGATGTCGAGCCTAGGCTCTGATACCAACTGTTACGCGGCGCCTTCCTGAGATTCCTTGGAAGGGCGACGTAAGGCTAGGCAACTGATGTCAGTGCAGTTGCTGTCCGCCAACTGAGGTCCCCTCCGTACGCTAGACGAGATTGTCAGTGCCGTACGGGAAAACCAATGTCAAGAGCAATTGAGAGAACAAAAATGAGAATTTAGAATGAAAGAAAGCTTGATTGCATTAATGAAAGCTATTATAGAAAAGCAACGCGGTGTCGAGGGGGAGAGACACCAGTACAGAGAATTGCTTGCTTGCTAGATTGCTTGATCCCCCCTAATAGTACTTAAAAAAAATAATCCAAAGTTACAAGACTAGACTTGACTAAGCTAGAGAAACATAATGGAAGTACATGAAATAAAACTACTCTATATTTACAATGAAAATGACTTAGTTTTCTATAAGGCAGCAGCAGGTCCGTTGTCAGCAGCAGTGTCTTTGGCATCACGGTCTGCGCGCGCGGCGCTGTTGGCTTCTGCCTGCGGCTTGGCGCTCGCAAGGGATATCGGTGGGACGACAGAGGCACCTGCGCGCTTGTCACTTGGCGCGGCCAAGACCACGGGGCCGTCCGTGGCGCTAGGCATTGGGAGGTTCGCTAGGACGCCACGGGGCTCGCCCAAGGGGTCATGGGGCATGGCTGGAAAGCCGCCCATGACATACGTAGTGGAACTGAATATGATACCCACACGAGCATACATGTATTACAAACGGTTGTCGTGCCTCATTCTGTTGTCTCTCCTATGTACATATTTGTTCATCATCTTTCTCCGCCTCACCATCTGCTTCCTTGGTTAGCCCCTCTACATTCCTTTCTTTCACGTTACATTAGCAGCGGGTACTGCAGTGTTCTTTTTGGTAACTGGCTTTTGGGTGTTGGTTTGTGTACATGAGGCTTGGTAAGAATTTCTCGACCGGAACAAGGACAGCAGCTTCCTTCCCCATCTATTTTTCTTTTATGCAGGTTAATAGCCATCACGGTCACGAAGTATCAAGACATAATAAATGATATATGCTCTGTAAGCCTACAGCTAATAGCAACTCATCAATAAATAAAGGAGATGCATTTACTATATTACTTCCTATAGTTATGTTTTCAGATTTTTTAGAGTGTATTCGATGTATTTAAGCTACTGTATTCATGAATACAGTAGCATTTCTAGGCGTGAAACAGGGAATTACACCTAGACAGCTTTTTATATTCGAGTGTATTCGACTGTATTCATGGCGTGAAACATGGGATTACGGGGGAAGTGCACGGTTGGCCACTAATAACACATGTATTTACTTTTAAGCCACCGTTTAAAATGTCTTTAGTCTTTAGCCACTGCTTTAATAAACTTTAACTGCCCGGACGAAAATACCCTTCTGCTCATGTCCTTAACTTCAGGACTACATGTCCTTAACTTTTGAACTTGGAACTCTAAGTTCAGGACTTCAGGACTACATGTCCTAAACTTTTGAACCTGTAACTCTATGTTCAAGACTTCAGGACGACATGTCCTTAACTTTTGAACTTGGAACTCTAAGTTCAGGACTTCAAGGCTATATGTCCTTAACTTTTGAACTTGGAACTCAAACTTCAAGACCAAGCGTCCTTAACTTTTGAACTTGTAAGTCAAAGTTAAGGACCTATTGTCCTTAACTTTTGAACTTGTAACTGTAAGTTAAGGACTGCTTGTCCTTAACTTTTGAACGTGTAAGTGTAAGTTAAGGACTGTCTGTCCTTAACTTTTGAACTTGGAACTCAAAC